TCGTTCACCAGAATTATCCAGACGAACTCCTCGCGATGGCCAGTCCTTCTCTCGTCACGGGTCTCGTGGAAATCCTCCACACACACAAGTCCACTCTCCCTCCCGAATCCTCCACAAACCTCTCTCTATCAAACACCTTCACAATCTCCTCAAAATATCTCCTCAAAATCTCTCTACAACTCTCTCCAAAAATTCCCTTACCTTAATCTCCTCTAACTGAATATTCTCCAGAACAATCTCACGCACGGGGCAGCTGTTTAGCGAGTGATGGCTTCCCCATCCTCGTTATTCTTCTTCCCCGATTATCGGCGATACTCGTCGTTGAGTGTCCTCGCCATAATTATAAATTCATGGATTCTTGATGGATATCTTTTTCTTTCTTCCGGGTCACGTGGCCCGTGACGTAGTCGTGGGGGGTTTTCTTTTCTTCCGGCGGGCGCGTGCGGGACGAGGGGAACGACGGGTGCGGGGGGGCTTCTCCTTTTCGCCAACGATGTCTCTGCTGGCCGTGAGTATGTCGGTGAGGGGAGCGCGGGGCACAGGGAAAGACTAGTATGGGAGTGGGAGCCAACGGTGACAGGTTTTCTAACCTGCTCTCGAGTTGCTCGTTATTCTGGTTATTCTAAATTAGCCTAGCAAAAATATAAATGTATACATTAGGGGGCTGGGGAGGGTCAACAAAAAAAGTGCCTCGTCACAAGATATAATCGGAGTTATTGAATCTGTAACTTTTCATTATTGTTAATTATCAATTCTTCTCTTTCTGCTATGTGTAGAATACAAAGCCGACAAAGTCAACGAACAACTTTCTGAAGGTTCGGATCAATGGATTTCGTCTAGAGATCCAATCTCATTGAAAATTACATTAAAGAAAATATAATTACGGACGAGATAATAACAGTATTATTCCATTCTACCTGATCACAATTCATTCGTGTGGTAAACTCTCCTTCGCATATCTCGAACGAAATTTTGATTAATTTACGATGTCCATTTCATAGGTTCGTCCCATAAATGTAATTTTCCTAATATTACTATAGGTTCATATTTACAAGAGTTCATCATAATACATGATTAATAATTCAACTCGATGGCGGAACTTCGAAAATACTACGTGATCCTCCCTCTCTCTTCTCTTAAACAATCTCGCTCTTGAAAATGTTGAAAATCAAAAGACAGTCGAAATATTCAACAACTGAGCATTTTGCACATTCAGTTTTCCTCCGCCACTCAGCTTCGAGCATTTACCGTTTACAATGAATTCTCTGGTCATTTTCACGGGAAGCAATTTGAAAGAAATCGCTGTGATTTCCTCTGAACGGGTTACCCTAATGGATAGTGGACCGAGAGCGCGAGTTTTGTGGTACAATGATCGATCTTATGTAGCAAGGGTACTGGCAATAAGCGGTAAGTTTTCATTAATTACCATGTCTTGCGAATTTTGGATTTTATTGTAAGTATCCTATACAATTCGCAATTGTTGATTTAACCACAAGAAGCATTAACATTAATATTGCTATCACTTTTGCCAATTTCTATGAATTATCATGGTTTTTTTTCAATTCATAATAATTCCCAGATGACGAAGAACTCCTCGAACGGTTAGAGGTTACGACTTCCGGCAAAATTGTCAATCGAGAATGGTTGGATCAGTCGGCCCAAGCACCATCATCAGAGGCACTAGATGCACCAGAGGTACCAGAGGCACCGGCGACACCAGAAGCACCAGAGTCACCAGAGTCACCAGAGTCACCAGAGTCACCAGAGTCACCAGAGTCACCAGAGTTACCAGAGTCACCAGAGTCACCAGAGTCACCAGAGTCACCAGAGTCACCAGAGTCACCAGAGTCACCAGAGTC